CTGAGGCTAAGGAAAGGACCCCATGGGAGGAGAGGGGAGGGGAGACGCTGCATTCAGGGAATCTGTGATGACTGTGTTCTAAGAACTCTAGGAGTTGTGGAGCCACGGATCTCTTGATGTGACGAAGTTTTCATATCTCCATCTGTTCTTTGGGTATCATAGCCTATGAGGTTTTAAAATCGTTATCCTTCTTATCTTCAGGCACTAATCAATCGTGGGGTTAACCTGGATCCCCTGGGCAAGTGGTCAAAGACGGGACTAGTTGTATATGATTCTTCAGTGCCCATTGGTAAGTGTTCCCTGCCGAATAGCCCTTCTGCCCCTGCCCTTGTCCCAGCACGTCACAGACGGGTCCTCTTCCACAGGCGCTACTCCCGAGTACCTGGCTGGGCACTATATGCTGCAGGGAGCCTCCAGCATGTTGCCTGTTATGGCCTTGGCACCCCAGGAACATGAGCGGATCCTGGACATGTGTTGTGCTCCTGGAGGAAAGACAAGCTACATAGGTATGAGAAGGGCAGGCAGGGATAGGATTCATCTGACTCTCTGCTTTTAAAAGCGGATGGGGGGGCCGGCCCCGTGGCTTAGCGGTTGAGTGCGCGCGCTCCGCTGCTGGCTGCCCGGGTTCGGATCCTGGGCGCGCACAGACGCACCGCTTCTCCGGCCATGCTGGGGCCGCGTCCCACATGCGGCAGCTGGAGGGCTGTGCAACTATGACATACAACTATCTACTGGAGCTTTGGGGGGAAAATAAATAAAATCTTTAAAAAAAAAAAAAGCGGATGGGGTCAGTGACTGGCTAGTGCTCGAGGAACAGTGCACACGCAGCTAGCAGAGTGGTGAGGAGCACAGGCTCTGGACTCGGCCTGGATTCTGGCCCCGCGTGTGCCGCTTACCATCCATGTGACCTTGGGCAAGCCCCTGATCTTCTTTTGTCATCTGTAAAATGGGGTAGTGATTGTGCTTGGGTTGGCCATTGTGCTTGGTTGTGAGGGTTGAGATATGCATGTAGAAGTCCTTGGCAGAGTGTTCAGCACATAATTAGTCATAGCCATTTATTAAGAGGTTATCACTTAAAAGAGGTAACTTCAGGGGCCGGCCCTGTGGCTTAGCAGTTAAGTGCGCGCGCTCCGATGCTGGCGGCCCAGTTTCGGATCCCAGGCGCACACCGACGCACCGCTTCTCCGGCCATGCTGGGGCCGCGTCCCACATACAGCAGCTGGAAGGATGTGCAGCTATGACATACAACTATCTACTGGGGCTTTGCGGGGAAAAATAAATAAATTAAAAAAAAAACTTAAAAAAAAAAAATAAACGAGGTAACTTCATCTGTAGGACCAGAAGGGTGTTCAGTAACAATGAAAAACCACGTTGGTAGGCTCGCTCATCACCAGGGGCCAGTGCAGACTGGGCAGGCCTATACAGTAGACAGTGGGGAGCAGGGCTTATTGGGGGTGAAGTTTGCTTTGAAGTGGATTCCTATGCTGGAGCGTGGCCAGCAAGTGTGGAGGCAGAGGAGCTGGCTGCTGAGTACTGTGCTGGCCCTCCTTTCAGCCCAGCTGATGAAGAACACAGGTGTGATCCTTGCCAATGATGCCAGTGCTGAGCGGCTCAAGAGTGTTGTGGGCAACCTGCACCGGTTGGGAGTCACCAACACCATTATCAGCCACTACGATGGGCGCCAGTTCCCCAAGGTGGGACTCCCCTCTGTGCGTCTCTCCTGAGGTGTCTTCCAATTCACCTGCCCCCTTCCTGACATCAGAATGTTTAGATTTGCCCCTAGGAAATAAATGGTGCAGTACAAGTTGCCAAAAACATCTGCTTCACCTACACTTTTTCCCCAGGTGGTGGGGGGCTTTGACCGAGTACTGCTGGATGCTCCCTGCAGTGGCACTGGGATCATCTCCAAGGACCCAGCTGTGAAGACTAACAAGGTGAGCTGGGGTTGGGGGTGAGGTGGGCAGTGGGACCAGCCGAGAGGCCTTGGCTGGGCCTTGCAGAGCTGGAACGGGAGGTGGTGGAGCACTCAGCAGTCAGTAGCTCACCCCTCCTCCCGAGGCTGCCTTTTGAAATTTCGACACCCTTGGGTCCCTCCCTCTTCTCTCTCTGGGACAGGATGAGAAGGACATCCTGCGCTGTGCTCACCTTCAAAAGGAGCTGCTCCTGAGTGCTATTGACTCTGTCAATGCCACCTCCAAGACAGGGGGCTACCTCGTCTACTGCACCTGTTCCATCATGGTGAGGCCTGTCAGGGCAGAGCAAGAGAGGGCAGGGCTGGGGGACTGTTTGCTCCTTAGAGCTCCCTTTGCTCCAGCTCTGCTCTTCCTTCCATCTTTGTCTCCCCACACGTCCAGGTGGAAGAGAATGAGTGGGTGGTAGACTATGCCCTGAAAAAGAGGAATGTGCGGCTGGTGCCTACAGGTCTAGACTTTGGCCAGGAGGGTTTTACCCGCTTTCGAGAAAGGCGCTTCCACCCCACTCTGCGTTCCACCCGCCGCTTCTACCCTCACACCCACAATATGGATGGTTTCTTTATTGCCAAGTTCAAGAAATTTTCCAATTCCATTCCCCAGTCCCAATCAGGTAAGCGATCTGCTCTTTCTACCTTTCAGGAGGCTTTATAGTGTGACTGCAGGGAAGGGAAGGATTTCTGCCTCCCTTATCCCCGCCTTTGCATGCTTGGACAAGACTCTTTTTAACCCAGCTGGAATGGTTCCCGAGCCTGGCCCCCATTTGAGTAGGTTTAAGCGTTCATATGGACGGAGGCCTTTTCCTCGATTCTGCCAAGTGGTTGCAGTTGTTCGGCACTAAATGCATTCCCAGTGTGTTTTGTGGTTTCTGTTCCTTCTTGGCCGAGGGTTGCCTGGCTGGTAATAGACCTCTGCTGGTCCAGCATTGTCAGCACTGGGTTGGCACAAGACTCCTCAGAGCTATCAGCAATTCTCTGAGCCCATCACACTAATTGCAGATTGTTTTCTCAGCCATCTTGAGGAGTCTGGCCTGGATCTCAAGGGGAAGGTGGGGTTTTCTGAAACAGGCTTGAGTGCTCTGCATGCTGTGCTATAACCCTGGGTTTAGTTGGAGGACGGAGAGGCCAGCTTCTCTGAATACAAACTGCTTGAGTTATTGAGTTGATTTTTTAAAATAAATAATGCCTTTACAAAAGTCACATCTGAATGGTAACAAAACAAAAGCCTTCAGAAATAGCAAAATTTGCTGTAACTTTTTTTTTGCTGTAGTACATATTTAATGTCAGTCCTCATTTATGTCTTACTAGCTTGTTTTTAGTTGCTGTGTATTTTCTTATTTTCCTGCATCTTATCAAAATCCACATGAAAAAAAATTTTCTCTGATTAAAAAAATTTTAAAAAGCCCAGTGCTTCAGGTTTCTTCAGGATTCACCTCCTCCAGAATGTCTTGTTACCTGCTGTCCTCAAGGGGGCACAGCTTCCTCAAAAAACCTTTTGGCCCAAGGATGAGTAGTGATCTCTTCTTTAATACAAGGTTCAAATACAACTTGAGCAAAGGCCAGGTGATAATAAGTAATGCGAATCTAGGTAGTCTGCTCTTAGGCACTGCCTGAAGTGTGTGAAACACCTGGGCACTTTCCTTATTTTAATACCTCTACTTATCTTCTCCACTAATGATCAGGACCTAGTGATGAGGCCCATTTTCTCAAACCATCTGTTTAATTTTAACCCCAGGAGATTTTGCACCATCCGCCCCTACAAACCCAGACTTGCCTGACCCGAAAGCTCAGGTGACTGCCAAGCCTGAGAGCAGCAGCAAGCCAGCCAAGAAGGCCAGAGTGGCTATGAAGGCAAAGCAGCAGCTGCAAAAACGGCCACACCCCAAGAAGGCTTCCTTCCAGAAGCAGAATGGCGTCTCCAAAGGGGCAGACTCAGAGTTGTCCACTGTATCTTCTGTCCAAAAGGCCCAGGCTTCCTCCAGGCTCCAGGATAGCACTCAGCCAGCTGTCAAAGCTGAAGTGATCAGGGAACCAAAGGTGATGGGGAAATTAAAGCAACGGTCACCTAAACTGCAGTGCTCCAGGAAAGCTGCTTTTCTGAAGCAGAGTGCTCCTCCCAAGGGCACAGACAGAGCGACGCCTGCTGTTATGTCCTCCAGGACCCAGGCCCCTCTCAAGCCCGAGGACCGTGATCAGCCCCTTGGGAGTGCCAAAGGGGCTGAGAAGGTAAAGCAGCAGTTGCCAGAGCAGCCTTTCAAGAAGGCAGTCTTCCAGAAACAGAATGGCACCCCCAAGGGACCTAAGACTCCCACCTCATCTCCCCTCAGTTCCAGCGGGCTCCCACCAGCAAAGAGGAGAAAATCTCAGTCCACAGGCAGCCACCAGCCACTGCTGTCCTAGGCGGATGGCTGAAACTAGCCTAGGGTGGCTCATTGCCATTGTCACTGGTTGGAACTCTTACCTTTGGGAGGGTGTCTTCCCCGCTGTGCATGTGAAATTTAATATACATTTTATAATCTCTGGCGCTGTGTCTTTTTGAGGGGACTGGGTACTGGCTTTGCTGCTTTAAGGGTAGAGGTGGGAGGGTGGGATGGAGATCCTCTGAAGAGAGGGAGCAGTGTGGTGTACTGAGAAGTCGGGTCAGGTTCAGGCTCCAGAGATCCTTGGTCTCCCCAGGGACCCAGGGAAGGAGTCATGGAGTCAGAAGTAGGGTGTGTGGACTCTGGGGAGAGGAAGGCATTAGAGGTGTAGGGGAGGTGGGCTTCCTGCCCTCAGAACCCACGGAGCCCTGGAAGACCTGGGTTTTATGCTCCTCTGGCACTCCGGCTGGATTCCGGGCACAGGCTGGGGGCCTCTCAGCTCGGGGCTCTGCCTGAGACCCGGAAAGGTCCCGCTGCCAGCCTGCGATTGAGCCTTTCATTGGCTTCCTCTCTGCCCTCCCCCTCCCCCCTGACCTCTGCCCCTTCTGCCGGGCCGTCTGATTGGTTGCCCCGCGTCCCCCTGGCGCCTCATTGGCTCGTCTCCGTCGCCCTCCATCCCTGCTCCTGCACCGGGCTCCGTTTCCCAGCAGAAGGCGCAGCCATGAATCCGTTATTCGGCCCGAACCTCTTCCTCTTACAGCAGGAGCAGCAGGGCCTGGCCGGGCCGCTGGGGGACCCCCTGGGAGGCGACCCCTTCGCCGGGGGAGGGGACGTGGCCCCGGCGCCGCTCGCCCCGGCCGGCCCGGCCCCCTATTCGCCGCCCGGGCCGGGCCCGGCGCCCCCCGCCGCCATGGCGCTCCGCAACGACCTGGGCTCCAACATCAACGTGCTCAAGACCCTGAACCTCCGTTTCCGCTGCTTCCTGGCCAAGGTGCACGAGCTGGAGCGGCGCAACCGGCTGCTGGAGAAGCAGCTGCAGCAGGCGCTGGAAGAGGGTAAGCAGGGCCGGCGGGGCCTGGCTCGCCGCGACCAGGCCGTCCAGACCGGCTTCGTCAGCCCCGTCCGGCCCCTGGGGCTGCCGCTGGGCACCCGGCCGGCTGCCGTCTGCTCCCCGTCGGCGCGGGTGCTGGGCTCACCCGCGCGCTCGCCGGCCGGCCCCCTCGCGCCCTCCGCCGCCGGCCACTCGTCGCCCTCCACCTCCGCCTCCGCCGCCTACTCCTCGTCGGCCCGCTTCATGCCCGGCACCATCTGGTCCTTCTCTCACGCCCGCCGGCTCGGGCCGGGACTGGAACCCACTCTGGTGCAAGGGCCTGGCTTGTCGTGGGTGCACCCCGACGGGGTGGGCGTGCAGATCGACACCATCACCCCCGAGATCCGCGCGCTCTACAACGTATTGGCCAAAGTGAAGCGCGAGCGGGACGAGTACAAGCGGAGGTAGGGGCCGGGAAGGGGCCGGGGAGGTGGGCAGGGGCTCGGCGTCTCATGCCAGCGTAGGGCCGGGACTCTGTGCAGCTCCAGGGGAGGGCCTCAGCTGGGGCCCGGAATCAGGGAGGAATCAAGTAAGAGGAGAGTTCCTGCTGTGTGAGGAGGAGCTTGGAAGTAGACAGACGGAATTGGATACCGGGAGACTAAGATCCACCGAGAAGGCAGACGTCACACGCCGGACAGGAGGAAGGAGGCGAGGAGCAGAATACCGTGGGGAAGTCATCTTTTTCGTCTGGCTTTTCCTTCTCTCTCATCTAGGCTGTAGTGTTTCGATGACTATGTAAACTCTGGGGTTTTGTGAGGTGAGAAAGGAACACGGGTCTGAGAGGTCACATTTGGGGTACTGCTTATCCCCCCAGCCTCAGCCCTCAGAGCAGTTTTGTAACATAAACTCCACATACTGATCAAAAGTAAGAGGCAAAGCCAATAGCTTTAGTTCCGGGAGTCTAAGAGAAGTAGAAGGGGGTGGTGAGGGAGAGGCTGCACCTTGCAGCAATGATCCTGCCACTGCCCAGAGCTTCCCAAAGCTGTCACGGAAACTGGGTACCCGCTCTAGTTCCATATGAAAGGCTTTGGGGACCTCAGGGCATTGCTTGGAGCAGGTCAAAAAAATGGGAAAAGGAAGAGTAAAGGGAATTCCCTAGGGAAAGGGGAAGGTCTGGTGGTTGTCACAGGGCTGGTGGAAGCTGGGGGAATCTGTGGAAGCGCAAGGAGCTGAAGGCGGAGGAAATGCAAGCAGGGCCAGTGGAGGAACTGAGTAGGCAGAAGTTGGGTATATGGACACACCCTATGAGTATAAGGCAGCTAGGGGCAGGCCCAGTGCATTCTGAGATGATGATTGGGCTCTCTGCGAGGAGCCCGGCTGGGTAGCACAAGGGGCGAGGGGAAGGGGTATGATGCCGGTGTGCTGGCTCTATGCCAAGTGATTTCTTAGAGGGTTGATAAGCAGGACAGTTAGGACAGAGGCACGGGCACAGCCAGCACTTTGTAGACTCCCTGACCCATGCCGTGGTTGAGGAGGAAGACATGACAGGTCAGAAGGAGACTTTGGTTTGGGGCCTTCAGGTTTAACCTCTTAATCGGCTACTCTGACCCCTGGTGGGCAGGCCTGGGAATTACCCTTGAAGTGTAGCAGAGACTGGTATCAGGTGGGGACTGGCTGAACATTCTAGGGAATTACTGGTTGGGTCTGGATCAACCTTCAGCGATCTGTAACCTGCCAGCATCTAGTAGATCACAGATCAGCAGGCTTTCTGAGGCTGAGTCCTGTGCTCATGCTGGCTTCCTTAATTGTAGTCTGTATTATGAGTGTCTTTGGGAATCTCAATTATCCTAAAACCATCATTCAGATGCTACCCAGAGCCAGCTTGCCCGGGCCCCTGCCCTGTTCCCTGCAGGAGTTAATTAACACAGTCAGCAGTGCAACATGGACAATTCTGGAATGCACTCATAACCACAGGAACAACTGCTGTTCTCAGGGGCATTTTTTTTTTAAACTGAGAGAGTGTTTGTCCTTGGTCCAGCTGTCCAGGGCAGCAAAGAGTTATTCCTTGGGGACTGATGAGCTCATCACTCTGCAGCAGGCTGCTGCGCAGAGGGCCCCGCAGCTAGAGTCGTCTGGTACGTGATACTAGCAGTTACTCGTTCTTCCACCCCAAATTCCCTGCCCTCTCTGTTCTCTTTATAGCAACACTGCAGCTCCTGTCTGTGGCCTGGCGGGCACGGGCATAGCTTGAGCACTAAACTGCGAAGGAGTGAGGCCTCCCGGGTTCTATTTTCAGCTCCCCAGCCTTATGTGACCTTGAGTGGGTCTCTTTTTCCTGGCCTCAGTTTTTCTGACATAGAAATAGCCCTTGCTTTCTCACTTCACTCAAGGATACCGTTTATTTGGAAGAGAGGTGTTTGGTAATGTAGAATACATGGAAATTGCTCACATTCTACATATGTTAAGGAAACCTTGTAAGTGAGGCCAGATTTGAGTGGAGGTCAGAATGAGCCTGTTTGTGGGACAGTCTGGCTGGAGAGCGAATAGCATTCTAGTGAGCTTCCGGATGACTTGTTTTCAGATTTTTTTTACCCTGTAAGTTTTATTCATCTTAATCCTTACGTAGCTTTCTTACTTAAGCTTCTTTCTCTATTTGTTGAGTTCACTGTCAACTATGCTTCCTACCCTTCCTGATGCATCTTGTCCAGGATTATTGTCCCCTTGTCAGCCTTGCTTTCTCCCTCCAGGGACTCATGGACTCCAGGGGCATGAGGGTACCACATCCCATGCCTTCAGGTTGTAGATGAAGAAATCAAGGCCCAGAAAAGATAAAGATCTTATCTAAGGAACTATATAACCTGATGCTACTAGAGCCCTTCACTGGCCCTGACTGAATGAAAATGCCAGAGCAAAAAGGAGAAGGACATGGGGGCTGGCAGGAGGGGTGGGCAGGGAGCCAAGAGGCCCGGAGCTGGGCTGCTCCATGAGCCGGCAGGGTGGTGACCGGGCTGGCTGCCTCGGCCCTGCCTGACCGGGAGGGGCAGCTGCAGTGATGTGGAGGAGTTATTATTAGGAATGCTGCAGTGCGGATGTGAGCGAGGCCCAGGGCAGCAAGGGGAGATGGGACTGGAGGGAGAGCCCAGGGAAGAGGGCAGAGGGCAGGTGGGAAAAAAGATAGAGGGAAGGAGACGGAAGGATTGAATCCTCCGTCTACAGAACGTGCTCTCTTGGGTTTTCATTTTCTTGCTGTCCCCTTTGCTACTTCCTAACCACCTTTCTTATCCTGAAGTTTCTCTCTTGGTGCAGTTCCCCACCTTTCTCAGACTGGGAGAAGCCTTTCCAGAATGTGGCAAGAAGTAATAGATTACATGAATGGGGTCTGTGAAGGTCTGCTGTTCCAGCCAACCTTGTAGGGTCTTGAAATCCGAAGCAGTGATGTCGCTCCCCCCACCCCGCCACCTCTGTGATGTGGTGGAGTATGCAGTGGCTGACTGTGGACTACCCTATGTGAGAAACCTAGCCCTGGGCAATAGGCCCTGCCTGTGGCCAAGAGCGCCTTTTAGCCTACTTGTGGTCTTTGTCTCTGTTCTGGATCCAGGAGATGCTGCTTCTAGTTCTCATCCACCATAGTAATGGGCCACTTTTTCGTGCTCCGATTTCTCTTTCCCTCTGGGTTTGGGTGCTTGGTAATCCCAGGCTCCTGCTTTCTACTGCTTTAATCCTCAGGGCCAGCCGTGTCCCCTCTTGACAGCTCACTTAGAGGGGGCTCTGGGTGGGCCGTCTCTGGAGCTTGTGGGGGATGGACTTTGAGCATCTCCTCCCAGGCTCTTGACCAACTCTGTTGATGCGGTATGTGTCCTGCAGCTGCTTTTACAGGGTTAAATGGTACCACAAGAGGCAGGGCAGCGGGCTAGAGAAGCTCTGTTCTGGTGCAGGCAGGAGGCGGGAGACCGGATCTGTGCGACTGAAGGTGGGAGACTGGGCCGGGTGGGCCTGGTGGTCTGGTGTGGGCAGGAGGTGGGGATGAGCCAGCCAGACGGCTGGTTGGGCCGGGGCCTGAGCGGGAAGGGCATAGCGAGGGACCAGAACCAGCAGCAGTTGCTGTTAAATGTAGTTCCTGGTGTGTGGCCCGGAGGTTCCGGGAGGGCAGCTGCTGAGCTTGGCACTTGCCAGGCAGTGTGGAGCCACCCGACAGCTGCAGCTGGCCGCCACTGGCTGGCCAACGGTCCTGTCCACGGCTCCTCCCCAACTAGGGAACCAGACCCAGGGGCTGAGGCCTGAGCCAGGTGGGGAGCAGGGAGCTGCAGGGCCAGGGAGGGACTCTGCACCTACGTTCCCTCCCTTCTTCCCTTCCCGTGTCTGCAGGTGGGAAGAGGAGTACACCGTGCGGATACAGCTGCAGGAGCGAGTGAGCGAGCTCCAGGAGGTGAGGCCCCGCCTGCTGCCTGTGTGTCCCTCAGACCCCGCTCGCCCCTCGGCCTGGAGCCGGCTCCTCCTCATCTTTACCTTCTTCCCACATGGGCAGTGCACTAACGGCAGGGTTTTCTCCCTGGCTGTAGGAAGCCCAAGAGGCTGATGCCTGCCAAGAGGAGCTGGCGATGAAGGTGGAGCAGCTGAAAGCTGAGCTGGTGGTCTTCAAGGGGCTCATGAGCAACGTGAGTGCAGCACGGGGCGGGGCTCCTCTGTCCGTCCTTAGGCTGCCTAAAACCAGGCAGGCAGCCCTTCCAGTATGGGCCTATTCGGTTTCTGTCCACCACCCCTCCCCTTACTTCACTCTGCTTCCGTTTCTTTCCCTGCCACCCCCCAATTAAAGAGCAAAAGAAGGAACAAAAGTCCACATGTTGTGTCCCAGAGGCAGCAAAGCCTCCATCGTTACTAGAAGGTGTTAAGCAGTTAGTCAGGAACACAGATCCGGCTCTGCAGCTTGCTAGCAGTGTGGCCTTGGGCGAATTCCTTAACCGCTCTGCCTCTGAATCCCATCTGTGGATGGGATAATAAGGGCATGTGCTTTGCAGGATGATTATGGAGACATAATGTACTAGGGCGGTGCTAGCACATGTGCAGTGCTAGATACGTGTTAGCTGTTATTGTTGTTACGGCACGTTCTCCACTCTCATCTCTCCCAGTGGTCTCTCTTTCTCTCTGAGAGCGTGAGTTAACATGAGTTCCTGCATGTCCCAGTACTGGGCCACACCCTCCGGGGCCCCGTCTGGCCGGGGAGCCAGTGGCGTGAGCAGCCCAGTATATGAGCAGGTGTGGTGGGGAGGGAAAAGTGACGCATTCAGCTCGCAGGAGGTGGAGATGCCTTCGTGGAGGGGCAACAGTGATATGTGACTGCAAGGCATGAGGAGAACCTTGCCAGGGCCTTACTGGTGCGTCTGGAGTGCTAGGTGCCTCCTGACTGCTCCCTGTGTCCCCTGGACAGAACCTGTCAGAGCTGGACACGAAGATCCAGGAGAAGGCCATGAAGGTGGACATGGACATCTGCCGCCGCATCGACATCACTGCCAAGCTGTGTGACGTGGCGCAGCAGCGCAACTGCGAGGACGTGATCAAGATGTTCCAGGTGAGGGCGGCTGCCCTCGGCCCCGGCTCTCCAGCCTGCACCTCCCCAGGGCCCGAGCTCCTCAGGGGAGGGTTGGGGCAGGGGAAGAGCTGCCCATCACTAGAGCCAGGCCCTGCCCTTCTTCTTGGGGACCTTATCTTGGCAATGGGGGCCTCAGTGGGCCGAGGCTGGGGGGCAAGGATGGCCTCTGAAGAGAGGCTTTAGAAGCTGTCTCTAACGCCATCTCCTCTCCCTCTCTCTCTCCTGTGTCTGCTTCCTCTCCTCTCTCTTCCTCTCATCTTCTCTTGCTTTCTCCACAGAAGAAGCTGGTTAGTTTGGCTCTCATGCAAGCTTTGTAATGTCCTAGTCCCGGTTTCTGAACCACCCAGGCCTTTGGCCGTCAGTTCTGACCTGCTGGGCTGTTCAGCACAGATTTCTTCCCTTTCTATTTTCCTCACTCTTTCCCCTTTTTTCGATCTCTTTTTCTCTTTGCTTCCTCTCTCTCTCCCCTCTCCCTCTGGCTGTCCGATCTGGATGTGTGATTCGAGTTTTCCTTTGTGAACACTGTGTCCTCCTTGCAGCCTAAAACCTTCTTTTTAGTTTCGTCATTTCATTAGAAAGACTTTTTTTAGAAAAACAAATCCTCTTGAGCCATTATGCACATCTTAATGTGATCCCAACAAGCCATTTTCCCCCTTATCTTACTGCTCTATTTTCTGTTCTTCTTTTTCTTCCTTCTCAGTCTGCAGCCCTGTCCCCATTTGTGTCTGTCTGCCTGTCTTGGTGACTCTGGTGTTTCTGTTCCTGTCATTGTAACTGTGTCTCCTCTCTCTTGTCCCCCCCACCATCCCGCTGGTTCATGCCTCTTCCCTCCCC